TTATAGTAGAATTTATGCCTTTTGAAATGTTTGAATGACTTTTTAGAAATAAATATTTTTAGATCTTTTTATCATAAATATTCTCTGTTGAATTTATATTTTTTTATTTTTAGATTGTTGAGACGTGCTAACATGATCATGGAGGCAGTGAAGGAGCACCAGGTGATCGACGATACGACGAAGCTTATGAAGATGATCTGCGAGGAGGAGGAGAAAGAAGGTTATGATGTGAAAATCGACAAAAAATCTCTCATCAGGCTGCTGCAGAAACTCGCCAAGGATAACTTGGTGAAGAACATCAAACTGACTTTGAGCGTGTGCGGGCACGAGAAAAATCTGACTTTCATCTGCGATCCGAACATCAACACCGATCATACGGTGATCAAGTCAGCTGTTGAGCAAGCAAAAGTCAAGTTTTGCCTGTTAGCGTCGCAGAAAGTGAAACTGCTTGCGAAAAAAATGGCGGAAAAACAGGACAAAGAGGACAAAGAGGATAAGACAGATGTTAGAAAACAAGAGCTCGGCAAGACGAAGGATATGACGCCCATTAAGAACTACACGTACGACACCAAAGCTGGCAAACTCTACGGTTTCAGTCCGAAGTTCATCAGGATGCAGACGATGCACGTCCTGATCTTCTACCTGGTCTACGATCATCCTGGCACGCCAAAGTTATCGCAGCAGGAGCACGTGGAACTTCTCAGGTCTAACGGTTACGAGATCAGCGACGATCTCGCCCAGGAATTCAGTATCATTTACACCACAGAAGTCGGCTGGAAAATGTTCGTGCCGCCGTTGCCCAAACACAGTGGATGGACCGAAGGCTGGGCGCTGATGTGCGACATTCTGCTCGGACTGCCCTTGTCGATCTTCGCCAAGGTGCACAACATCACGTTCATAATACCGGAGTTGGAGCCGTACTTGAATCATCCGATTAAAAAGCATTACCTCGTCAAGAATCTTCCGGTGAGTTTGAGATTAAAATTTAAGACAGATAAACAGTTTTGCGTTTATTAAACTAAAAGACGAATATTAGATCTTTAGAGTTTAAGGCTTTAAAGGACAAAACTATTCTATTTATATTTCACGAGGTAAGTCAAAAAGTAAAGAAACATTTGAAGAATTAAGTTCTGACAAAAAGTTCTCTTCACTTTTTGACTTTTGCTTGTATTAATTATTTACAAGGGTTTTATAAATTCTCTTTTTAAGGTCTCCATCCGGAACACTCTCTTGCATGCGCGGAAGTATATATTCAATATTCATGATACCGTAACGAGATTGAGTTACATCGGCCTGGTGCAATTTGGCCCGCAGCGGCTGAAAGATAAAGATCAAGTATTTATCTATGCAAATCGGCGCACAGAATTGATGGACACGATCTCTTCGGCGCCGAGCTATCATAAGATCGAGGACAAGGTGTATCCAGTCACTAAGTACTTCTTCGATCGCACACAGGTACTACTGATTGCTACTATCATCAGAAATATTAAGAAAACATGATGGAAAGGAGATTAAACAGAAGTAGAATATGAATGAATTTTGAAGAAGAATAAAGTAATGTTTTTTGGGGGGGCATTTTTGCAGGATGTTGAAAAATATTGGTATGATATGTGGACTATTTGCGTTAATACGCCACTTGGCGGGAGACTGGTGGTGCACGGCAAGGATATCCTACTTGAGGATCTGAGCAAGAAGAATGCCATGATAGAAGCGATTACAGCACGCACACCGAAGGAGACCATCGAAAAGGACGATGGCACGGTTCCTGGAGATCGCAAAGGGGCGGCTGGCATCGATTCAGCTTTCTTCGCGCATCTGAAACGCAACTGGAACTGGTCGAACAATTATAATATGCGTCAGCAGGTAAAAAATCAAAGAAATCTCCAACAAAAAGTAATAACTTTAAAAAGATAAATTAGAATATTTTGCTGCTTTAGAATTTTTAGATTTTTCTGTAGATTAATATCGCACATTTCTTGTGAAAAAATAATTTACAATGGTATTTTCACATTCTGAAATATGTTTCTCTACTCGTAATTTTTTATTTATCTTTATTTGGCATTTTTCTGAATATAGGTTTCTGTTTCTTGGATTTGTGAAATTATATGATATATTAAAATTAATTTATTTCTCAGTATTTGTAGGCATATTATACTATATTGATGAATCTTTTGTTATATGCTCTATAAATCATTATTAGGTCTCCAGAAATCAGGGGAAATCTGGCAAAGGCCAACGGGATCTGCATCTCTCGAACGTTGAAGCGAAGCCAGTAAATTATAAGGAATACGACGGTTTGAAAAAAGTTTCCGGACCGCCGCCGCCTACGCTCAGCGCGGCAGAGTTGCGGAAGAAGGTATACGATCACCTCAGCAGCACTGGACGGAAGAATGAGGCCCTACCGTCGCATCAGTCCACCAAGCAGAAGGCTTTTGTGCGACGAGTGATGCCGCGCAAGAAAGGCGCCCGGCGTGTCAAGTACGACGAGGACGATTATCGGGCGATGCAGCGGATGCACAAGCTGCGGGTGGACTGGGAGCCGCACGAGGATAACATCCTGTTGGTGTGCAAAGTAGCGACGATGTACCTGTCGCCAAATCCTCGCAAACAGGTGGTGACCTTCATAGCGGTGCGCGACGTGCTGCGCACTTTCTCGTACAATTCGTACAACAAGACCTCGCGCGCATGCCAGCGCCGACTGATGTACATGCTGAAGCAATCGCGCACGGTGGACAGCGTGACGCTGGGCGTCGAGGAGATCAAGCAGGATCCGTTCGTCGACAGGCGGTACGGCGGCGCGATGGACAGATTGAAGGGCGAGTGCGCGAACCCGGCGGAATACGAGAAGCGGGCTACGGAGGTCTTCAAGGAGCTCGTCGACTACATCGTGAAAAAGTATTACGACATAACGGAAATCAAGCCGAAGAAACATACGGCGATGCCGAAAACCGCGCAGGAGTTTAATCTTCTTTTCGAAGTGGTCCATCCGGCGAAGCCGCACAATAATCAGAGCTTCACAGACGTGCGAAGTACGAATGACATTTACTCGGTGACTATCAACTCTGTCATACACAGTTCTATGTGCTGCGGAAAGGATAGGCGCTGCTGGGCCTATCAGCTCTTCAAGGTATGATCGATGCGAATGTTGAATCGTAATTAAGTGCTTGAAAATCAACGTTCACTTTTATGAACAATTTTCAAAAGCGATGAGATTTCTTTTTTTATTTAACGCTTACAATTTTGTTGTTTGTTAAAGGTGTACCAGCACTATCCAGAGACGCTTCTAAGACAAGCAATGAGCAAGATCCGATCGGATCAAATGGTAACTGTGAAGAAGCACCACTTGGCGACGATTAAGAAGTTCGGCAATTACATGCCGATGAGCAGCTCACAGTACCAATTAAGCATCAACTACATCTACAAGCTTCAGACCAAGTGGCCTTACGACATGTTCAAGGAGTCGTACGATATTTTTGTGAGATTGCTGCAATGGTATTCGGAGCACAGAAGCGCCGTTTCCTCGCGTGAACAGGAAAAAGCGTTCAACGGTACTGAAATTCTGCCGATTTCCAGCGGCATAGTCACCGCCATGCACGATCTCCTGGCACGCGGTCAAATCGACTTCGACATCGAGATGCCGGAGCAAGTCATTATGCTGGACGCAAAATATCAGGGCAAGGACGAGACTTACTTCAAGGTCGCGCAGAGATACCAAGACATTTTAACCAGATTGTATCGCTTCAAGTTCGAGAACGTTGACGCTCAGAATACTGAATTTTTTGAGCTTGAAATGGAAACACCGGAAGGAAGTGAAACGAAAACACGTGAAACACAAGAAGACTCTTTGAAAAGGAGGAAACCCACCGAGGATAATGATTTCGAAGAACCGATGTCAAAGATGCCTCGTAAGGGCGAGAAATCTGATGGAAGAAAACGAGAGAAAAAATCTCAAAGCAAAAATAAAGTGTCAACGGAAGAGGAATCGGCTGGCAAGAGTGTCGAGCATGAAGGATCGAAGGATTGTCCCAGTGTCGATGAACAAAACAATTCTACAAAAAAAAGTGTGTTGAAAAGGAAAGCTATCAGTGAAGAGGATTCTATTGACTGTGAAGAGTCGTCGTATCCGAAAAGAACAAAAATGAACTCTGAAGATTCGTTGGATATAGAAGATATAGAGGAAGATGAGGAATCGAATTTGTGCGAGGATCTTGAAAGCATTGGAAGGATACTTCCGAGCACCTCCAAATCTCTGAAACCAATGAAAGAATTGAAAGAGCAAGCGAAAGAGAAAGGTATATCATATATTTACGTTGATAGAATTTTTTTATGGACAATTAATGTCTTTAATGTTATTTTTTAAAATAAGGACCTAATATTTTTTCAGTATCTTAAATATTCTAATCTGAAAGTTTGTAAGAAATATAACAGTTTATTTAGATTTTAGAAAATAAATTGACTTGAATGAAAAGTCCATGTAACATTAAACAGCACTGTGATTTCTGATTAAATTTTAAAATATGTTAAATGTGTCATTTTTTTGTCAGCTTTGTCGACGCAACTGAACAGCTCGACCGACGTGACTTCGGTTCCTCGACTCGTCAGTGAGATTATCAGAAATATGCCATCTGAGACGAACTACTTTAGTCCTTACGCCAAGATTGTGGACACAAATGACCAAAAGAAGTACACTAGAATAGCGATGCTGAGGATGAGAGAAGAATTAAACGATCTCGCGATGAATGGCAGTCATCATGCGCATGAATACTTTGTAGTCAACAGCTTTAGGATGTTTTACAATTTGGAGACGTCGGCAGTTTCGTCTACGTCTAGCGACGTTGAGGATTTTAAAGAATTTTCCATACCCAGTCAGCTCTTGCCATTGAAAATCGAGAGTATAAATAATCTTCTCAGCGAACTGAATCAAAATGCCATTTTCCCAAAAAATGGCATTTCTTACACGGATTACAAGGACGAAATAGCGAGGAAGAAGAAGAAAATACCGGTCGATTGGCAACATGTCGACGCAGTGTGCAAGTTCGTTCGAGAGAGGAAAGAAATCGGCGTTCGTCCGCAGGAGTTGCTGGTAATTTAATCTCTATTAAACTAATTATTGCTCTTCTCTTCCACCTTGTTTTTTTTTTATTTTTTTAATATTGGTTATTTTTCTGTCTTGTCTAGGAGCAATTTTTTGATAAGCAAGGAGCAGATTTGTACAAGATCGTTTCGCTCTTAACGGAAAATCATATATTTGTGCGCTCTGGCGTCACCAATCCGCGCTATATTCATAATCGATACGCGGATCCTTGGCTAATCCATTCCTACAAGATATATCGTCTGGAACATGAGTCGGTAGCGCCGTTCAAAGAAAGCATATATGCCACGATGCAACAAGGACAGACAGCTGAGACGAATATTGAAGTTACTGAATGTAAAGAAGACACAAAGACACGTAATATTCCAATATCTGCTCTGTGATTTTAGATTTTAATTTTGTTAAAATTTGTCTTATAAAAATGATACTCTTGCGTATTTTTCTTTGAAATTAATATTTATTTGAATAAATCCTGCAGATGAAACAGTACATGCAATACCATCAACGTCATCAAATAATCAAGAAGAAAAGGAAAAGAAAGACGAAAAAGCGCATAGTAATGTAAAATATTGAGGAGAAAAAGAAGGAAGACAATGAAGAGAATAGTACACATACGAAAAAAAGAGTGCACAATCCAAAGGCATATTTACTTGCACAAAAGGAAGTGTACAAATCCGCGCAACAATTAGATTTCACGTATGTGTTGAGAAAGGATAGTACGAAAAATAAAGTTCCTCTCATGAAGTTTCTAATTCGATCGATCATTTTTTTTAGAACGGCCGAGGAAATAAAAGTCATTATAAAACCGTGGATTCGTATCGACGGTGTTCTGAATCGCAAAGTATTGGATCGCATGCTGGGAGCAGTTCTGAGTTACTGTTTGCTCCATCCCGGACTTACCATGACGAAGGTGCAAAGTAGATTCATCCCCGCCTTACAGCCCTTCCATACACGCGAATTGCTCGAGGTTCGTTATTGACATATTTGTAGATCGATATTCTTGAAATATTGTTTTTCTTTTAATTTTATATTGGATGTATTGCATCTAAATATTTGCAAGATTTGTAACAATTTATTGATAAAAAATAGTACGTGTCTTATATAATGTAAAAAACTTCTCTCTAATGAAAGCCATTTTCTCTGCAGATGCTGATTAAACTGGGTTGTTTAGAAAGTAAGCTCTTGAGGAAAACGAGTGTTACCTTATTTTCGCGGCCATCTACGATCAAGATCAAGAATTTAAGTACGTGATTTTTTTGCTAACAACCATTACATACCACTGATTCAGTTTCTAATTATAATATTGCTAATATTTTCTTTTTCCTTTTTAGCTGCAGATACTGTCGGTTGGTCTGCTGAAGATGAAATAGTGCTCGAGCCTGCCATAGACGCTATATTAAAGTTTAGCATTTTCTTGAGCACGAGAACATATAGCACGGATTTTGTGCCATAATATTACTGTATTGTATGTATTATATAGTCTATTTTTTATTCGTGATATTATTGGAAACGTGATAAAAATGTTGTGCAAAAATATTTTAGTCAGTATTAATTTTTACAGTACTATGTATTGTGAATTTGATATTTTATTAACAATTATAATTTATATATATAATTAATTATATATATTATATATTTAATTGATTATATATATTGTGTGTATATATATATATATATATATATATATATATATATATACTTGTAATTTATAATTTTAATGTATACATAATTATATATAATTTATATATAATTTATATATATTTATAATTATAACACACACACATACACACAAAATTTTTTGTATGATATAAAAATAAGGACACGTTTGTGTTACATTATATGTATTATATAACTACAGAAAGATGAAACATTTATTTTTTAGTAATAAAGATTTTTTTAATAAAAATGAAAAAAAATTTTATATTTGTAAAAAATTGAAAAATAAGAATCAGAATTTGTTTTCATAAATGCAAAATACCATAAATCTTAGAATTGCCGCGCATTTTACAGACGACAATTGGTTAATAGTTAGTGCCATTTCTACAACCAATCAAATTCATTAGCAACGTTCAGTTAGCCACAGTTAGCATTATGGACGATTTGTGTAGAGATGTGTTGAATCGCGCCAAATTTTTGCTTCTTATTTATCGAAAGGTATATCTCTTTTTTTGTATTTCTTTATCATTTTTTCGTGATTTTACTTCTTCTTCTTCAAAATCATTACACGTAGTAATCTCATTTTAATGAGAAAGTGTAAAAATGATGAACTAATAATCGTTAGTTAGAATGTTTGTAGTGCACAGGATCGTAATTATAAAGCTTATTTTTAAGGCTTTAAGATTTAAAAATAAACGATGTTCCTACAATAATTCTGTAATAAAATTAATATAAAAATCAGTAAAATAAAGTTCTAATATTACCACATAATTTTTCATAGATTGCGTACTGAATTTCTCAAAAAGACAATAATTCTTTGTTTACCGTTTCGTAGGGCAAATCACATTTGTCTACCATTAATAAATCCAGCACTGATTATGCCTGAATGTGTGCTAAACATGTTAAATCATGTTTGAAACATAATATTCGTAACGGTCATAATGAATCAATCAAGATTGATTTAGTGGATTGTTTTGCCGTTTTTCGTTTATCTCGAAAAAATTAGACGAAGAAAAGATATATTTGCACGCTGGTGGACGCAAGGATTTATTCGTGTATCTGTGTGTTTCTAGTTTTATATAGCTTTATACAATTCTGTCATAAATGTAAGTTTATAAAAATCTGCATTACGCATTGTTTGTCCATCTATAAACATTACAATTTCCTTTATTGTAGATAATTTTATTTTAGGATAAATCCATAATTATATTCATCTGTTGGTTCTTATTTTATGATAAAATTAATTCTATAAATTTTTAAAATTGTTTATGAAAAATGTGAAGCTGATCCAGTATTTGAGACAATTGTACATTATACATAGATTTTTCTTTTTATTTCAGATTTTCAAGTGCAGACAAATAGTGTGCATTGTTATAGTGTGATCATAAATAAATATTTATTTATCATAAATAAATATTTATAGAAATATTTATTTAATAAAATGTCAGCCCCTACTCGTTGGTGTTCTGCACCAGGTTGTATGACAAATATTAAAATAACAAAACGACATTTTTTTAAATTCCCAAAAGACAGAGAAAGGCATGTATTTCTACTTTTTAACTACTTTTTAATTTAATTGATTTTGTGGTTATATTTGAATTACATTCTTAAATCCATATTTAATGTTTAATATATGTTATATTCTTAGATTTGTAATCATAATTGTATAATTTTAGATGGTTAGAATGGATTAAGGCATGCAATAGAATGGACTTAGAAAAAATAGGTCCAGAATATACTAATCTGTATTATCGTTTATGTCACTTACATTTTCGAATAGACCTGTTTAAAAACATAGAGGGAAAAATTTTTCTCAATAGAGAAGCTGTACCATCAATATTTTTGAAGTCAATACAGGCAGAAAAGTAAGTAGGTAGTTGTAGATATATTTTAGTTATACAGTTATATTATTACTATATTTGTTACACAAATAGTTTTTAAACAAGATTATTATGTGTAAGAATCATATTTAAAAAAATCTTTTGCAGTGTTAAATCTGGAGATCTTGTACAACCACTTTCATTTGTAACTATATTTTTGAAGCCAGAGAGCAGAAGCAAGTGAGTTTGCAATTTATTTCTATTTTCTATCCTTTTTATATCAACAGTAATCATCAATTTGTGCAATATTTTTGTTTTAGAAATTCATCTATAGATTTATCAACTTTAGTGCAATCAGAGCCTTCTCTGAACAAGAAGATGCCTTTCTTGAACAAATCAGATGAAAAGTGAGTTTTTATATTTTGATATAAGAACAATGTAAAACAATTAAGTTAATTATTTTATTTACTTGGCTAACATGTAGCATAAACAATGGCATGCATAAAGTGATTGGTAATACATAGTAATACTTTAAAAGTAAAATTAAAAACACAACATGGAAAAGAATGTTCTATGAGCATATGTTGCTCAGTCTTTTTCAATATTATATTTTTATAAATAGTATTGATTTTAATTATTTTATTAATTTTTATCTACTAATCAAATAATATTTCTTGACAGAAATACACTTACGATTCCAACTCTAAAAGTACTATTTCCGAGAACATCTATAAAACAAACATTGGAAAATAGGTAAGTTTCGATTTTCAACTTGTGCAACATTAATGTTTTATCTCTGATTAAAAATATTAAATAATACGTTTAAATTTTATTAGAAAATATCATGTAACGGTGCTGGAAAGGAAGTCAGAGAACGATAATGGGTAAGTTTGCAATGCAGTACTTATTTCAATTAGCATGTGTTGTCATAAGAATATAATTTTTTATTGTAACAATTAAAATGTGTATCTATTTATGCATAAATAATTCAGTAAAAATTAAATTATTCTGAGCATCTACCTATAAAATAAGAAATTTTGAAAAAAATATGTGTGAAAAAGAATACACTTCTGTTGATAGAAATACTTCTACAACGAAGATACAACTGGTAAAAGATGTACATGCAAACTCAGCAGCATCAATAATATCATCGCAATTAAAAAAAGAATTCAATGACAAGTAAGCTTTGACTTAAAAAAGTGGATTTATGTAACATTTATAACTGAGTAACACAATTTTTTCTTTAAACAGAAATATCATAGATTTAACAATTTCGGACTCTTTAATGTCTACAATGTCATCGACTCATTCAACTCCACAACACAGCAACAGGTGAGATATTGTGATATAAAATTGAAAGAAAGTAGAAAATTGAAGATTATTGCATAGTTTAACACTTTGTTATTTTATATTATCAGACATTAGAAGCTTTTCGAAAATCTGTTAATGAATTGAAGTAATGCATGAACTATTGATGAAGTTAGAACATTAAAATGGGATATTTAACGATACAGATAATTGATTTATGTAACATTTATAATTGTATAACACGATTTTTTCTTTAAACAGAGATATCGTAGGTTTAACAAATTCGGACTCTTTATTGTCTACAACGTTATCGACAATAGTACCATTGACTCATTCAACTCCACAACACAGCAACAGGTGAGATATTGTGATATAAAATTGAAAAAAAGTAGAAAATTCAAGATTATTGCATAGTTTAACACTTTGTTATTTTATATTATCAGAAACTTTGCGAAAATCTGTTTTAATGATTTGAAGTAATGAATGAACCATTGATGAAGTTAGAGCATTAAAATAGGATATTTAACGATACAGATAATTGATTTATGTTACATTTATAATTGAGTAACACGATTTTTTCTTTTAACAGAAATAGCTTAGATTTAACAAATTCGAATTCTGTACTGCCTACAACGTCATCGACAATAGTAGTACCATCGACTCATTCAACTCCACAACACGACAACAGGTGAGATATTGTGACATAAAATTGAAAGAAAGTAGAAAATTAAAGATTGCTGCATAGTTTAACACTTTGTTATTTTATATTATCAGACATCAGAAGCTTTGCGAAAATCTGTTTTAATGAATTGAAGTAACGAACGAATCATTGATGAATTTAGAGCATTAGAATTGAATATTTAACATTTATAATTAAGTAACACGATTTTTTCTTTAAACAGAAATATCATAGATTTAACAAATTCAGACTCTTTACTGTTTACAACGTCATCGACAATAGTACCATCGATTCATTCAACTCCACAACACGGCAACAAGTGAGATATTGTGATGTAAAATTGAAAGAAAGTAGAAAACTAAAGATTACTGCATAGTTTAACACTGTCATTTTATATTATCAGATAGAAGCTTTGCGAAAATCTACTTTAATGATTTGAAGTAATGAATTTAGAGCATTAGAATCGGATATTTAACGACACGGATTATTGATTTACGTAACATTTATAATTAACACGATTTTTTCTTTAAACAGAAATATCTTGGATTTAAATTCGGACTCTTCACTGTCTACAACGTCATCGACAATAGTACCATCGACTCATTCAACTCCACAACATGGCAACAGGTGAGATATTACGATGTAAATTACGATATTACGATATAAAATTGAAAGAAAATATAAAATATTAAAGATTATTGCATACTTTGTCATTTTATATTATCAGATAACCAGAAACTTTACGAAAATCTACTTTAATGATTTGAAGTAATGAATAAACCATTAATATGAATTTAGAGCATTAAGAATAGGATATTTAACGACACAGATCATTAATATAATAAATTCATTATCTTACAGAACATCAAAAAGAAAGCATTGGCACATTTCGACACAGACGCCGGAGGCATGGTTATACATAGACTCCTTCCTAAAAAAGAAACAAATGGAAAAATGTGAAACATGTGCCGTGAGTCTGGCCACGAAGCGAAGGAAAGTGCTCAATACGGAAGAAGCAGATCAGCACTTAAACGTGGAGCAGGTAAAAACAGCATGCGCGAATTTATTGCCGCGCGCCTCTGCTCTACTGTTTTCGGCATGCATCGACGCCCAGAAGATGCGCAAAAACGGAAAAAACTTTGACAGGCAATTTGCGCTTAGATTGTTCTTCGCAGCGCCGATCGCATATCGATCTTATCGGATGTTGCGTCTGTTGCCTACCGTGCGCCAACTGAGGAGACATATTCGCAGCTGGGACATGCCGCCCGGCTTGAACGCAATATACTGAACGCGTTGCGTCTGAAGATGAAATCGTTACCGCCGTTAGAGAGACGCTGTTGTCTGTGCGTGCACGAGATGCGACTGCAGCCGCATCTCTTCTACAATTTGTCGCGCGACAGAATCGTCGGTTTTTACGAAATCGGCGCGGAGAAGCGACGCATCCTCGCGAGGAAGGCCCTGGTGGTGATGGCGCGCAGTCTGGCCGGCGACTGGGAACAGCCTGTCGCTTACTACTTCCACGGAGGCGCGTGTAACGCCGATGTGACGAAGAACCTGATATTCCAGGCGATAATCAAATTGACGCACATCGGCGCGACCGTGCACGCTTTGATCACCGGAACGGCGCCGATGTTCTTGCGACTGTCGCAGCGATTAGGCATTTCCGCGGAGCGCCCGTGGTTTCTGGTGAACGGCGAAAAGATATTCTACATCTTCGACGTCGCTCGTCTGATGAGAGCGACCAGGAACGTCTTAATGACTCACGAGATCTGCTTCCGCGAGAAGAAAGCTTCGTGGGCAGACATCGAGCTGTTTTTCAGATGCGACAGTCAAAAGCGGCTGCCGCTTGCCCCTAAACTATCCGTGAGTCATCTGAAGCCCAGCGAACGTCAGAAGATAGAAACTAAGTACGCCGTTGAAGTATTCAGCGATAGGGTAGCTGCAGGTTTGAGCGCGTGTATTGCGTCAGGTGAGTTTTCGCTGAGAGCGATTGGAACGATGGAGTTTGTGTACAATTTCGATCAGCTGTTCGACATTTTGAATTCACGTTCCGCGTCGACGAAACATAAGGAGTTCGGTGAGGCCTTCACGGGTAATATGCGCGAGATGCGGTTCTTGCAGCAAACACTCGACTTCCTGAAGTCGATCAGAGTGGTTGACAAAAGCGGGGCGCACGTGAAGTCTATCAAGTGTTTCGATCGCTGGCGAGTCACGATTAACGCGATTACGCAGCTATGGGACGTGCTGAAGGAGCATCGATTCTCTTTTCTCCGCACGAGAAGACTGAATCGGGAAGGTATCGAGCGCGCCTTCCGCTCGATTAAACAACAAAGTGGAAATCGCGCCAGACCCACGCCCATTTTCTTTACTCGCGCCTTTAAGAACCTCGTCAGCAAGCACTTGCTCGAGCACTTGAGTAAAATCGATTCCGTTGTGAGCGCGCAGAAGATTCTCAAGCGGATAGCGTCGGCATCGTCCCGTCACGTCGACAGAGATCCGCCCGTCGCTGCTCAGACAGCTCTAAGCATCTCGGCGACGAACTATCGCGACATCGATTTACGGCTGCCTGAGAAAAGTGCGTTTAAGCGCGTGTGCGAATTCCTGCTCGCCGAATGCTTGCGTGCGCACGATAATTGCGATGTGTGCGTTGCCTACGTCGCTGAGGAAAGCGGTTCGCACGCCGGCAAAGATGCGCCGGGCTCCTTCAACTTCTACATTTCCGGTTTGGAGGACACGTTCATGCGCATTTTCGAGCAGCTATCCGCCGAGGAGAATATCGGTGCGCGGATGCTGCAGTACGCACAGCAAGTCGAGTACAAGCCGCCCTGTCCGGACTTCCCGGTAACTTTTCTGATCAAATTGTTCCTGCGTATGCGAATATATTTCACGCTCTTGCGACACAACAGAATCTGCCGAGGTGCAGACTCGCGCGACTATTTGAAAGTGATGCAATTATGAGTTGTCTGCTTTTATTGCGTTGTTTACGCGTAAGTATAACGAGAATGTTTTTCTTTTTAATTTAATTCAATTCTGCGTTGATAACTTTATACATTATTTATGTTCGAATAATCAAAGAATTCAGTTTTATTCGATTTCAGAAAAAAAACTTGCGCTTGCGTGTATAATTTTGTTTTATTGAGATGTGTATCTGTTTTTTTTTTTGTGTTAACATTTGTTTTGTTTCGATTATATAATTTTATCAGCGTTATTTTTTTACGTGGTATAGAATTTAACAGCACGAATTTTAGTTTCTTGCTGAGTAATCAGACAAGTTCCTCAAATTGAATGATTAATATTCGAAGAAAAGTGATTCATTTTAAGGGAATGAAGTCGTGCTGAATATAAATTCTAATTAAGGATTCGTTGCCGAATATGATTTCAGTATTTTTAGTCAATTTTGTGAAAGTTCCTTCTGATACCAGTTTTTATCTTATCAATTTTGTCAAATTGGCTTCTAATTTTGCATTATTTGTCGTAAATTAATCCTTTTTTTTTAATTTTATTAATTTTGCTAGTAACTTTCTTATGAGAAAGTTGTGAACTGACATTACATATTGCATAAACAATGATTTCTAATTAAAACTAAAAATTTTATTTGTATTTGAATGATTAGAAACATATTGCAGTATTTTGTTTAATTCATGTCATTCGCATGTTATCGATTACATATTACTATTTTACATATTCAAAGTTTTTAAAAGAAAATTAAGATTTGTAAATCATTAATAATACTACACTGTTTTTTTTTTATTCTGCTTATTTATATGGCAAGATTCTTTATGGAACAAAAAATTGAATATGATACTATTGGAAATTAATTTTTATTGTGAACAAGCAGAAAACTAAGATTTCAGATTAAGAGTTTGTGATAAAGTTTGTAATTTAATGCTTAACAATGCAACGTCTGCAGTGCATTACAGACTTTGTTATAAGATAAGAAAATACATTAAATTTTGCATGTTTTCAGATTTGTTTTTCTTCATGAAGAATTAATTATTTGTATAATTATTTCTTCACTATAAAAAAAAATTGATTGAATTGCCACACACATGCATGCTATAAATAAATTTTTTTAGTTTATATTTAATCAATCGTTTAATTCAGATTATATAAAGTTGCATGATATCTTTCTGAATTTAATAATGTTGGAATCGGTATGACGTTGAATAGCATGGTATGTGGCGACTTTTTTTTCGTCATAGATATTAAGGGTTAAGTGCCTCGCTCTGTATATAAGAAGAAACGTCCGACGTTACAAGTAGGTCAAGCTGTGACGCGCAACGGCAATCGATATAATCTAAATACGATGTATTCGTGAGGGGTGAAGTAATGCCGCGGAATAAACGCGGTTCGCTAAATATGGAAGCAGATTGGATCGTTGTGCTCACCAGTGGTACCCATGATATCAAACCTAGTTATCGCTGCACATTAATATCAATAAATAGACTGTGACACGCGCGACATGTAGAATTTCTTGAATGTACGAGTTCTGAAAATTCCGCGCTATTTTTATTCAAAATAATTCCAGCAGATTTTCACACTTTTTTTCAAATCTTCAAAAAGAATAAAACCATAGACGTAAAATTTAAAACTTTCAAGATTTAAAGTGTAATAATTAAGGATATAATGAAAAAAGTTTGCAGAAGGGAAAAAAAAAGAAAATTTCGAGATAATGCATTATACGTTCGTCATAATGCGTTTTGTGAAACAAAAAACAATCGAACAAGCTGCAAGAGCTTTATCTTTCGTATAAGACTTTCTCTCGTACAGTACAGTCTTTCTGCATGATTCGATTGCAAGCCTTGTCCGCGCGACTGTTGCAGATATTAAGAAAAAAACGCAGGATATTGAGAAACTCTGTCCCAAGGCAGGTGAAGAAATCGATTCGATATTCGCTCTTATACACGTGACGCGCGCGCGCATATATCCGCGCGCGGGCTTGCAGGCTGCACCGCGACGACTCGCGACAGGTTACCTAGGACACAGTGTACATACGAGGAGTGCCGTGTTGCGGGCAACACTTCCAGCACAGTCGTGTCCTCGGTGACGGTTTCGACGGGGCGATGCGCGTCGAAGACGACCGCGTCGCGATTGTTCGTCCACGACGAGCCGCTGTGTCCGAGCGATAGTTTCGAGTGCACGAAGTTGAAGACGAAGATGTAAACACGAAGGGCTCGCGACAGTGCGAAAACGTTGTGTAAAATGTATTCGACTTCTCTGCCGCATGATTTGTTTTTTCTCGTTGCGAGTTGCATTCAATTCGAGCATTTGATGAAAGAGGAATATTATACTGTTTTAGCATGCACCGAGTAAAAAAACTAATTGTAGGTTATACATCAACATTAATAACAGAAAAATATCCATTCTGATTGAATTAATGAGCATTCGTTGAATTGTTTTACGAATTGAATGTAGAAACACGCTTCTCTAATCAATATTCGCACTATTCCATAAACATGATGAGCGTAATTATTTTCCGAAATTAGATTTTCTAGCTCGTAATTTAAAAATTAAGAGATCGTCATCGTTTTGCTGGTCATTTGTTTTTCTTTTGTCGCCTTCTATTTGAGCATCCAAACATTCGACAACGGCTTATCTCCCTTGGCGTTAAAATAGAATTACTTTGTGCCTGCGGGAGAACCTCGAGCGCCTTTCTTTCGGTCGTGTGCATCGATAATGGCACCGCGGGAGTCCTTGCCGCAGCCTTGCGTTTTCGCCTCGAGCGCTGAACGCTATTTAAATACACATATACACCGCGTGTGGGGGAACTACACTCGTATCTCCTCTCCGCAAGAACAGATAACCCCTTCCCGTAAGATATATCGAGCGCCACTATTATCCGGACACGCGTTTAAGGCGCGTGTTCAGCGTTAAGCCGATGAGTCCGATTTTCATTCTCCTTGTGTCTTAAATCGGCACCGGCTACGCCGGTGGAATTGTGGAATTGTGGATCGCCTTGATTCCGCCAAGTTCCTGTTCCTTCTTCTTCAAGGCTTCCTCGCCAAAGTCAATATCTTTTCTGTCTCTCCTTCAGCCACGATTTTTTGGTTATTTTTCATAACGCAGATGAGACAAAAGCTATGAAACGCAAAGAAGAATGATTGCAGTAAGAAAAAGCCCTTGCAGTTGTTTGCTATATTGGAAGCGGAGACACTTATAAACTGAGCGTAAAAGAACAGTTTGTTTATAAATATAATCTGCGATTGGTACATTGTTCATCACAAAGTAAATTCGCTTAAATTCAATTTCAATTTCAATTAAATTCATTTTATTTTATTCAATTATATTTCAATTTTAATAGCTTCTTTATTGCAGCTGTCGTAATTATATTTGTTTTAATACAAGAAAATCATTAGAAGGATGCGTATTTTTACTTTTATACGTTTGAAGCTTATCAAAAATTGATAGTCCGTCATTTCGTCGTCGACATTTGCGTTTGTTACATTCTTCTAACGGATGTTTTTGCAGGTCAGCGTGAGCAATTGTGGTTGGCACCTGAAAACGTAGTTTCCTTGTGACTCGGCATGCTCCTGCGTCGTCCTCCGGATTAAACTTCCTGGTACGTGAGTCAGGATCACCAGAACCGGGCGGCCGGCGGCCTCGTGGTGACGATGAGCGCCAAGATATCGGCGGCCAGCCGCGACAGCGCGGCACAGTCAACCGTGAGCCATCGTACTGTGAGAGCATCGTCCGTTAAGAGACCGCTATCACCTGGTAAGTGTCACGCTGACATGTCATTTCTGATATAAACATCGGCGCTCTTGGCCCATCTGTAGACTTATACTAGGATCTGGCAAAGTTTAACTTTTTTTTTGTAAACAGGTAAATTTAAAATTACATTATAATGAGAAATATAACGCAATAGATTAAAAATTAAAACGTATAATGACGTATATGTATTGACAACTTTTCTATGTATTTGAGTAAACAATTATTTTATTTCTATAATATTTAAAAAATTGTAACATACGCTATTTATAAAATAGAAAGAATCTACTTTTTTGTGAAAACTGATTAATATAAAAATTGAGAGATGTTGGCATTTTAAATAAAATTTTTCCTTATTATTTAGAATTAATTCTCATTTTAATTCTTTTCTCTTTTTTGCAGTAAAAAATAAGTTTTGCCAGGACACATTAAAAATAGAAAAAGATAAAATTCTTTTTAGATAAATCTTTTATATCCCACACAGCACGCATATCCAAAGGACGCCCAGAAGACACCCTGAAGAGATACGCTATCTTCGAAATGTCTTCTAAACGTCCTCCGGATATGCATGCTGTGTGGGATGTGCTATTATTTAAATAAAAAGAAAATGATTTATAAAGATAATTTGACAGTACAACCATTTTTTTAAACAGAAAATTCTATTAAAGAAATGAGGTCAAGGTATTTCGCAAGTTAATGGCTGTTTAACATTTGATTGTTAATTCTATGACTCACAATCAGAGTCGTAATCACGGACTGCTGATGAGTTTTGTATTGACAGCTTGACATATGCCGATTATGTGCACGTTGAGGAAATACATAGTTCAAAGTATATAAAACATGTTGTGAAATCAATGCAGTGTCTGAAACAACAATTGGATAAATCTAAAGATGTTTTTATCAAAAAAGAGATATAATTTGTTAAGTGTTAAAAAAATTATCAAAAATTACAGACAAGATTTCTTGAAAATTTGAAAACCTTCTTACAAACATATGAACATCGTACAATTTTTCCTCTTGAGGTATTAACAATCTGAATACAGAATACATTGCATCAGCGACGTATTTAACAACATTATATCGGCTAAAACTGGTCGAGGCAAATTTCGAAAAGTTTATACATCGATAACGTTTTGCGTAGAAAGAATTTTGTAACGAAAATTGATATAAAAAAAAATATGCAGAGTCAGCATATCTTGGCTCCAGAAAAATATGGATATCACTGTGCAGTGATATCGACATCGGCTTAATTAAAAGAGCAAAAAAAAAATGCTGTCGCGGCTAAGCGGTGCCGCGCAAAGTTTTGCAATCCACATACTGGAGCAATGACACACACACGATGACACCCGACGATGACGCACCGTCGTCCACGTCAGGAAATTGCATGCAGTCAGTCAACTCAGACAAAGGATGTATATATGTGTATGCTTACCTTCGTTTCTTTTTTTTCGCAGAGGCCACTGGCATTACGGAGAGATCGCCGAAACGTCCCGCTGTTTCGGAGCTGAAGTCGTCCTCGAACGGTATTTCCGGCCAACCGTCATTTGAGGAAATAAACGAGATGCCAGTTCTAACGAGAGTTTATTCTCCCGCTACATTGCCGAGACTCAAGAGATTCCTATTTCGACCGATCGATGGTGAGTTTTTGAAAATTTTTGCATTCTTAAATCTTTGAATCCTTGGATTCTCTGCTCGGAATATTTGCGTTCATCAGATCTTTACATATTTAAATCCGTGGATTTCGCCAATTATCTTAAATGCTTAAAGTGCTTCAACTTTGACCGAAAAATGCAGAATCACACTTCATTCAATATTTACGACATGATAAATCACTTACTATAGTTACTTCATGATACCTTTTTAAAGAATGATTTGTTTTTTTCGGAGAAGTTGATAAGATTCTTCAAGTGCACACATCACAACAGAGAAGATATCATTAAATCTCCGCCAAATAAATCTTAAGCAAGTTTTATCGAATTTCTTTTAAATAGAAGGAGCTCTTTTGAAAGTGTCGCGCAAAAATTATTAAATTTTCTTACGACATTTGCACTTGATATTTTGTCGAGTATCTTTCCTTATATAAACTTGATCTCACGATAAAATTACGTATGATAAAAATTATCATGTTTCAATTTGACGTCGTTTTAAAAAACCTAGAATATTAATGCGTAATATAATGTAAATAATGTGTTATCGCAAATAGAATATTATTTCATTAGTCATAGCAACTTACGTATCAATCAAATAAGCGATATCTACATTAATTCAATTTATGCAGAAGTTAGTTAAAAAAAATTCACGAAAAAGATCGAGGAAAACGCTCTCTCTTTCGAATGTCATTTCGAAGTTATCATTTTATCGATAATTGCGAGACACGGTATATAGCGTGTATTATCTTATACATCGTACTTGAGCAAATCGTATTTTATCAGGTCGGTTTCGTGACGTTTACCAATATATGTGTGTACAAAGACGCCTTATCAGCAGCGGCAGCGGCTGTTACGTGTTACTATAAGCTGCCGTATCCGAGAGAGAATCGCGTAAATCGCCATTATTCTCGGCAAACAATAAACTCTCGATACGATACGCACCCGCGACTCGGAAAAGTCGAGAAATCGGTGCGATTAACTTTCCTTCTCGACGGCACAGTCATTCCTAAAATAAACAGCACGCAAACAATTGAATTTTTGCTAATGAAAACATCGCGGCTCGACGCAGCAGGCTTGTGAAATATGCCGACACTGATTTGCCAAAACATATAATGAATCTGAAAAAAACAGGAAAAGCGTGAAACTGCAGTTTCTCTGTTTCGTCGAAGAAGAACTCGGAATAATAAAAATATTTATATGTTGAATTTTTAATTCGTCTTTTTTTTTTTTTTTTTACGATATGAGGAACATGATGTGTTGATTTAATGATAAAATTTCTGGCACGCGTGTTATAAGTTTGCTTTATCATGCTGCGATAGTTCTATTGAAGAAAAATCAAGTGTTACAAGAAACCGTTTCGTTTGTTTTCTCGCCTCTGACGTCATAATTTGAGATAACTGATATCATCATCGGCGATTCTTAATCATCATACAGCGTTGAATATATTTTACATTTCTCAACGTATATTTCCTCGTATTTTTGAAACGATTAATCCTTGATTGTCAAAGATTTCAAAACATGTGATCTTCGTATCGGCGTGTTTGTATCCTTCAGCCCGTGGATCTCTTCTTCGCAGATCCTCGCGGATATTATCTCCGAGTCGCGCGACGCGAATGTTCGCAGTTACCAAACTGCTCGTACGTGTCTAGATACTATCGTTGTTACGTAATGCACATCGCGCGTGGAAAAATAGATAAGTAAATTAAACACGTCCCGAAACTTTGGCGCTACTTTACGCGAGCAGCTTATAACCGCGGATCTTTATTTATCCGCGCGCGCGCGCGGGAGAGAGAGAGAAAGAGAGAGCGGAAGCGCGCGGTAAAGATGGATAGTTCAGAGATGTGTACACAGGGAGAAATAAGAGAAAGTAGACGAGGAATTGCATGCCCCCGTAGGCATCGGTGGGTGCATCGATCGATCGAGACAGTGTAGCAAACTGGAAACCTTCCGCGTACGAGGACACTGTGCACGAGTACATGTGTTTATCGCTCGTTCGACCCGACTGATGCCCGTGTGTATGATGTCAGACTCTATCTTTGGTGCCCGGAGTAGATGACCACGCGCAAACGCGCTCGCGTACGCGAAACTTCCTGGGGGTTGCTGGACGCTTGAATTTTTCCATTTCTCTTGGATTTGTCGACTTTCTGATATCTTGATATGTTGGAGTTCTCGAATTATCCTTAAATTCTGGATTCACAAAAATTGAGACTTCCGGAGATTTCGAATTTTTGATACGAAATATTGTATTTTGGGGAATTTAAACGTTGAAACACTGTCGGATCTATATTTTTATGCTCGAGTCTGTAAACTTTTGAGTTTTGGAGATGAATTCTCTCTTTCTGTTATCGCTGCATTGCGCAATTCTCTGTCGTTAGTTTTGGAGAATATGTAAAAATATGAGATATGAAAATCGCATTAGTAATTAACAAAAAACGGTTTCATTATTTATTAAGTACCTACGTCAAGTGTGTTTTTTCCTACACGAATATCACGTAAGCTTCGAAGAATAACCGATTAAATTTTCAGAAGCGGTTATCGCTCGAGTTGAAACGCGTCGATGGCATCATAACGGTGACAATCTTATCTTCCTTAGCCAGATTAATAAAGGGAATCGAGAAGTGCATCGATTAATAATGATAAAAAAACAGATTCAGCGATTCCATAATCTTGTAAAAAAAAAAAAGAGTAATCGGCGGATACCGGCACGCATGCACACGAGATACGCAGACACTTTTGTTAGAGATAGTTCGTTAGATTTAATGATTTTGAAGGTTTTGATTTGATGATTTTGAAATTTTATTTTTTTAGAAAAATAAATTTGCCGCGGAATCACCTGAGAAAACAACACGCATGTGTTAATCGTGCTCCCGAATTTTTTTTTTATCAGCTTCTGCACACACATAACACGCGAAAAACGTTTCTCTCTTGTGACGAAATTATCGCGCGTCCCGAAATAAAGCGATTGATTAACGTGAAGAAATGTTACGCGATATTGGTTGTCCGAAATAATTGAATTATTAATCCATCCGATTATTTATCGAACGACTCCTAAAAAAAAAACATGCGATAAATAGTTTACCATCAACTCGCAATTATTCATACATATATCAGCTTTATCTTTCACACTGCTCTGCAAATTTAAACAGGTTTGGTTTACTTTTCTGTTTTACTATGACGTACTTTCTATATATAACCTAATTTTTTTTATTAAATACGTAATTTTACCGTTTGCTATTTTTACGGTAGTAATATTTCAATGAAATTTATCGTACAGAGTGTATCAGATCGATCGCAATTCTTTGATTTACGGATTCTTCTGCCAATTTCGAATGGATTTTCAATTGTGAGCCGACTTTAAGATCGTTAGATTTTTAGAATTCTTTCGCTTATCGTTAGCGCATAATGACGACACATACATATATCATAACATCCGTTCGCGTGGGTCTGCACACTGTTGTGAGTATCATTGAGCAACCATAAGGCGCATTATAAATTTGTTTAATTCTAAAAAAAGAACTGTTTTTAATAATACGTTACGTTTAATTACGTTTAATAATACGTATTAAACAATTCTTATTGAATATCCTTGAGTAAAATAAATTAGAATATTTTATCCGTCAACGTGACTCACGATTGCGAATAATTAAAAAAAATATTGAAATGAAAAAGACTGCTTTTTTTTTTTAAGAACAAAAAATCGAAGGAAAAAGAATTGAACGGAAAGCTGCCGAAGACGGCGAGACGCTGACGTGATGGAGAATCCGTTCAGACCACGCGATATTAATATTCGAGACAGTGACGATACCGAGTAATATCAATCACGTGGAAGCTCGTCTCATTGCTATAGTTCTCACGCGCGATCTTAGAGCGATGCTATTAATATTCAAAATAATGAGACTGACATCGATCGAACGCGCGAGGCGCTCTTTTCTCGGTACGGCAGTGTCGTCGTGGCGTAATGTATATATCTCGGGACACCGGTTGTATGAACGTACAAGTGTATACAATACATACGCGTGTGCTCGCGCCGTCGTCGGATGAGTCATCGCGAGCGCGTTGCACGCACGATGGCGCAGAACTTCCTTTTTTTTTTTTTTTTTTTTTCGGGATCGCTGATAGCTATTGTCGCGTGCAAGTTGAAAGAATCTAGTAATCTAAGAATGTGGAGCACGGAAAATTCTAGGATCTCTCGCAGCAGTTCGAATTTTGCAAAATGTATGCAAAGTGCACGACGCATTCTTTGTCGTCCTGTGACTCCAGAATCCACAAGTTCTGCATCCGGAATTGAAAGGTTTAAGTTTGGAGAGTTGGGAATTAATTGCAAGAGTTAAGTCTTAATCACGAGGTTTTTTATCGAAGAAAATGTTAAACTAAAAATTAATGAAATCAGAAATAAATTGAAAAAAATAAGAACTGGAGTGAAACATTTTCGAAAAGGACGTAGCCGATGCAAGAGCCGCGTTCTCGACGCAAACGACGTTTCGCGTCAAATTTTCTCTCGAAATCAAGTAGATAACTTTCTTTTTTTTTATTTCAATCTCCGCAGAAACTCGACGTTGAAAAAGTTAAACGCGCATTCCAATGTGCACTAGGTTTGGTATGAGGGGTTAAATTACGCTCCTGCGCAGAGCTCCGCGGTGACCCCCTTCACCCCCGGGCGCGGTGCGACGCGTCCGTCCTCCGCCACCGCGCCAGCAGCGTTCTCCACTCTCCTCTCCAATGTTCTCCGCTCTCCTCGTCACCGGTGAACTCGTCGTCGCCGTCGTAGCCGCGTATCGCGCTGCGCTCAGCAGCGAGCTAGGCCTCTCCTCCTCAGTCTTCGCTCGCCGGCCGTTGGCAGAGGATCCCCGCATCGATCGCGCCACCGCGATTGTAAATCTCCCGTACGTCCGCACACCTCGCGCACTCGCCGTTCCCGTGGGGAAGCATGCTGGCCCGACGTGAGTATCGCGGGGCCCCTCGGGCCCGCGCGATCGCGCTCTCTTGAGACCCGCGTGACGTCACCCCGGCACTCCATCCACGTCCTCTCCTCTCCCTCGTCCTCCCCTCCCGCCCCGGTTCCTCGATCCTGCGTGAGATTGATCTTGCGGATGGTATCGCGTCGAGGGAGTGCGTAAACCCGAGCTGCTTTTTGGATATTTGTCGCTCCGCGAGCTCTTCCGCTCTCGAATGTGTAAGTCGGAAACCGGAGCGCTCGGACCACTGGATTTCTAGACGTCGGACCGGACTTGTCGGTTCCTGGACATGTAGATGCAAGGTGTGTAGCTTGGGGATCCCACGCGGATTGCCGTCCTCCCGATGCTGCGTAAAAGCGCAAGGTGTTCCCGGACTGGGATGCATGTTGCCCTCGGATTTTTAGTTCGCGGATTTGTAGATCGAGATACTGTAAAGCGCTCGCGTTGGATGCGTAAGTCGACAGTTGAAACACTCGGTCGGCTTCGTGTTCGAATTGTCGCATAGATGTTTAACCGAGCTGCAAACTTTCTCGGATTGCTTTCCTAAATTTTGATGTAGCTCGAAATTTTTTGATATAAACATCTCTTTGCCATATGTTTTTGAAACTTTCAAGAGGTTGTTGGATTTTTCAATTGTTAACTTTTAGATTTTTGCGAATCTTGCGAGTGTGAATGTGCGTATTCAAAGTCTGTAGAAGAAACTTCCTGGATTTTTGTTTGAGTGTTCCGATCCTTAAACTTATGTTTACAATGTATATAAATTTTATAAGCATTTAATAAAATTTCTGTCGAATTTTTAGACGCTTTTCTAGAGAGAGCATGATGCTATAATATGGAGATTGTTTAAAATATTAAAATTTTTATTTTTTTATAGGTATTTAAATGTAAATCGTGTGTTACTTGATGCTTGAATTCTGGAATTTTTGAATCTTTAGATATTTAATGAAAATAACGCTTTAAAACGCTAGATAGACATTTGATGCATACATAACTAGGCCGATTGTAATTTTAATTGCTTGCAGATGTACCGGATATTTTAATTAATTGCTTCAGTTAATTGCTACCGGATGTAGATCAGAAGTATAATTGCGATGTAAATGGGAAATTTAATTAGAATTCTTGTCCTACAATTTTCAAATTCGTAAATATCTGAATTAAAAGTATGTAACTAAGGAAGAAAACATCGTAAAATTACGAGTTCTTAATTTTATTTTTATACAGGATAAAATCAGACGAATCGTAATTAATTGCAATTACACACGCCAAAAAATTATATCTGTTTATAATAAATTAAATAAAGTAAACAAATAGATAAGTAGATTGGATGGAAACTTTTTTACTTGAAAATCTCAAGATTGCAACTTTTTAAATTTTCTTTGAGTTTTAAAATTTTCTGAAATTTATGCATTCTTTAAAACCTTCTATATATCATTAATTGTTATTGCTTTCCAAATTGTTTGACGAATGTTAAAATTATAGTTGGCGATTTAACAACAAGTCGAGCGTGGGAGGATTTGGTGGGATTAATTCGACGAAATTATCGTTCTTTTCGAGTGAATGGGAGAATGCAGAACGACGTATATCGTACGATGGCAGGTGTCGGTACTACACCTGTCCGCAGGCTGAATGCCCCGGCCAGGTTGCGAGTAGCGATAGTCCCAAACAAATATCTTTATCTTTATTTTAGTCAGCACGGCAATAAATTATTTCATTTACGTCGCAACTTGTCACACAACTATCGCGTTAGTTCTCAATGACGGAGTCTACTAAGCGCGAAGCGGACTTTTTCTCAACGTTAGCGTGCACATTATTTTATTTATTAATTTCTCTACTTTCAATATCTCGGATATTAAGATTTCGATCAAATTTTATTCGCACAAAATAGGCTGGGTGTTAATTGAGAAACGAGATCTTTTCATTTCTACGAAGAAAAATTAAAAGAATTGGAAAGAGATGAATTTAGCAACAGGTATTTTCAATTTTTAATATGAAATAAAGTAAACAATAAAGTAAACAACAGTATTTTGTTTCTTATTTTTATTATTGCATTAAATAATTTTACACGCGCAATTTTGTGTCTGAAAAATAACGTTGCGATGATCGAAGGCTTCTTTTCTAGAAAGTCTCTGTATGTTGATTTTATGCAAATTAATATTTGCATTATCAACCTTCAGCAACTTTCCCGAACTGCATTGATAATGCCTGTTTAAGCGAATGCGCTCGTGAAAGATATCGATAGGTATTGCGAGGGTATCGGGCCCATCGCTAGTCACGGGGCTCACTTGCCGCTCGAAGCGTCGAATTCCACAGCGTTTACTCATTCGAAAGAACGAACTCGAAGACTTCTCGGGGCCGGAGAGAAACTTCGATGGCGGAAGAGAAGTGGGAGAGTGGTCGGGCAAGAGAGAGAGGAAGAGGGAAGGAGAGTGTAACCGATGGTTTCCCGTTTAATCGGCCGTCCAGTATCATTCGATTCGATCCATTTCGAACGGCTTTCCAGAATCCATCGAGAGTCTCGAATGCGGAATTCGAAAGTGCAAAAATTCACATAAAAATGAAAACAAAGATAGAGACGCGATACAATTTTGCAACTCGACATTTAACATTCTTCGAATTGACAGAGAGAAATGTAGCTATAAAGATTGCATGCGCATGATGTGAGCGTAAACATAAGGTTATGTTCAGCCGAGAATTAAATAAGTGTAAATAGCAAGTGCGTCTTTAAATCATTCTCATAAATTATGACTTTTGAGCGCGTAGATTCTAGGAATATTCGTAGATTTAAAATTTGATTAAAAGCCTAAAGAAACTCTTGAATTTTCATGATGTAGCATTTGAGTTTTCAATCTTCGAGATAATTTTATTTATTATAAGAAATGAAAATCTGGAAAACTGCAGAATCCAAGGATCTAGAAATGTAAGATGGAGCGGCGTTATTTATAAAAACAAACAAATTGCATGCTAGCAAATACCGGGTGTATCACGTAATTTCTAAGTTAGTACATAGTCGCTCAACAGATCTTTCGTAACGCTTTCGAGACATTGGTCGTCGTCCAATTGCCAAATTAGAATTGTAACCAACTAAAAGAACAGAATAACACAAGAACCCGAGAATCCGAGGCAATGTGTTATACCCTTGTTACATAAATATGAAGTCAAAACACTTAAAGTCTGTGTGCGTGTATAAAAATTGAAGATTCTAATCTTTAAAGGATGTTTTGAAAATTATCGCCAGCTAAAATAAATCGAGGAACACGGACTTGTTTGTTTATCAATTTGATTTAATTATTAATCTTAATTTGTATTTTTGGACACTTACGAGATAAGATTAGATAAATTTAGAATATTCTACACAAGCAAAGAAGAAAAGGTCTGTGTGTCTTGGTTGAAAATCTGAAGAGTTCGAGACCTAAGCATTAGAAATCGTTCGAAATTATTGCAAATTGAAAACATATTGCGAATGCGGAAAAGAGAAACGTATAGAAAGATTAAAATTGGATAAACAAATATATATATGTATTTTCCGTATCTTAAATAAAAATCACAACCAATTCTTCGAACTATTTATAAAGAGCCATTTGAATAGCACTTGGAAATCGGTTACACAAATAGGAAAAAATACGCAAACAGGCTGATAAAGAATGCGCAGATGTGGAGCTTTTATTCAATTATTTTGCCAATTGACGTAAGACGAAAGAACTGAAAAGATGCTGACGTCGTATTCCATTGACATTTCAGCGCCGACCGCAGGATCGTGCCACGACGCGAGCATCGACGTGAACTCCAACCATCGCCATCATCACCACCACTCCGGGCGCAATCAGCTCGACCATCAGCCACAAGAACCCAACTGTCGAGCGCCGTCGTCCTCGATGTCTACTTTGCTATGCTGCGAGCCAGTGTCGGCTGGCCGACCTCGGGCCAATTTGAAACTCGCGTTGAACCGCAGCCTGAGCGAGCCGGGGCCGAGTCCGTGCGCCTTCCCGACCTCACCGAGCGTCCCGTCGATCGCCGCCTCCGTCATTAACAACAACAACAACAACAACGGCTATCCCACCGAACCACCCTCGATCGTGATCGAGGAGGCGAACGGCGACGACGACAACGATAACGTCTATCGTCGTGACTTCCACCACCACCACTACCACCATCATCATCACCACCACCCTCTCCACCATCTTCATCATCATCAGCATCTGTCGGCGACCACGAAGCGCTGCAAACTGGAGACCGCCAGCTTGCCGAACAGTCCCTGCGCGGAGAACGACAACCTCCATCGCCAGCTGGTGCTGAGCAAGATCAGCGTCGTCACTTCCGACGATCTGGCGCAGCGTCTCTCCTCCGCCGAGCCGCCGGTAATCCTGGACTGCCGACCGTTTATATCGTACAACGCCAGTCACGTGCGCGGCGCCATCAACATCAACTGCTCGGATCGCTTCAACCGACGCAGGCTGCAGCTGGGGAAGGCCACCCTCGCCGATCTCGCGACCGCTCGCGAAGGTAAAGAGCTGCTTAGAAGGAGGCAGTACAAGAAGGTCATAGTGTACGACGACTGTACGGACGACCTGGAGCGTCTCCCCGCGCAGCATCCGTTGTTCCTGGTGCTCGCCGCGCTCGTAGACGACGATCGGGAGCCAGCTCTGCTGATCGGTGAGTACTCTTCAGTTTTTTTTCAAGTTTCCAGCAATGTGCCGGACTTAACAAATCGACAGGGTGACGCTGGAGCATCCTAGCCCTTTGAATTCTGACGTTATAAGCCAAAAATTATACTTGGTATCTTTTTCTGCATTACACATTGAAATAGATTGATGTGATGACACACTCCGCTTCGGCAATAAGCAAGTTCTAGACACGCGCGCCAATGCTTGAAGTTTGAGGATATAATTTATTTTTTTTCTATATATAACTTGAGTCACATGTAAGCTTAAGTGTTTAGATAAAATTAAAGGATTCAGTATAACAAACGGTTCAATCTACTCAAGTTAAGAACTTGATAAGACTATAAATTCTGAATTTTATTTCCTTGATTTAAAAATTGATTTGTTTCAATTCTTTATTATAAAACATCACTTCTTGCTCTTATTGCCTTCTACATTGTCATAGTATTTTTAGCTGATTATTATTATATTTGTATAGTTTTATCAGCTTTATCGTATCTGATGATAAAATCAGATGCGCTCTTTGTGTTATCAAATAAATATAACTGATAATGGCGAGATAAGTATCCGAAGATATCGGATGACCTATACAGCAGTACTTGTTCGACAGATTTTTTTATAGATAGCGTGAAATCACATGGATCTTCACTAAGAACACAAAGAAACTCGAGTTTTTAATCTCTTACATTCTTCCATTTGTTTAAATCATCAGATTAAAAAATTTTTTAATGTTTAGATTTTTATCTTTTCCTTAAAAAAATTGCGCAGAGTTAGTATAAATCACTGCAATAATTAGTACAGTGATTATTGGAACGGGAAAAAACAGTAGCAAAAAAACGAGTGCAAATAATTCGAAAATGATTCGAATGTCTCGGAATTCATCAACACGATGAATGTTCGGTCAGCATCGGCTTTAAAAATTCAGAATAAAGTATGATTTCCACTCGTAAACTGCCACACGATGATCACTCTTCGCCGCTTTTTCCTCGATAATGTTTTTTTTTTGTAGTGCGGAATTTGTTTACAAAGTGAAAAGGCAAGCGAAACGCGGCGCACTGTTTGTCGTCTATCCGGTCCTCTACGTGGGAGTGCGTCTCTGGTTTTCGGAAATAACGATGATGCGAGCGTGCGATATTTCTGCCGGCCGCCAATCGCGCGTCGAAACTTTTACGCCGATCATTCTCCGCCACTATTTTTGCCGCTCATATATTACACGCTATTAATTCCGCACAGTCTCGTACATTTTACGATACGCTATTCCAAATTATAGTTTGTTTTCTTAGAAAGTGCATCCTGCAGCGACTGTCAGTTTCGACAGTTTTTTTGTCATGAATTTTTTTCTTTTGATTTGCTGAATTTCGCTAATGAGCTAATTCAGCTGAAATTAAGTTTCTTCTTAGAACGCACAATTTATCATCGGAAAAATCAAGTTGTTTTTCTATCATTTTTAAATATGTTTATAATCAATTTTGAATTAATTTTTCCTCAACTATTAAAGATCTTTATACTTTATTCATGAATGAAGTATCAAAATCAAGAGATGACTTTTCTCGCTTCTCATAATTTCTCCTTAGTGAAAGCAAGAATAATATAACTTTATTTTAGATATCATGCATTCTTCTATAAATTAATAACCAAATCTTTTTCCTTATTTATTTCAACAGAATCTTTGATTTCAACAGTCCGCAATATTTTAAATCTAAAAGTTCGAAGATTGTCATTAAAGATAATTATCGGATTTCTCTATAAATTTATTCTTCCGACGTTCTCTATAATGCTTTCTGTACAAATTTCGCGAGATAATTTTTTTCATACGGGGGTTGGGAGATGATTCGAAGGGCTCGAGGAAGGGAACGCGGACGAAGACCCGTTCGAAAGAATCGCGCGGCTGCGACGACGACGACGACGACGACGACGACGACATCGTGCTCGCATCGTCGGTGTGTAAGAAGGCGAAAGGTGGGGATCTATTCATAGGAGTGACTCACGTCGGAGATGACGCCGCGAATAGTCGGACAGATTTTGCGCGCCGCGATCTGCGCTTTCGCCGTGTTTTCGCAAAGCTACGCAGAGGGAGATGAATTAGCGGGACACGGCCGGAGATTTGTCTAGAATTTGTACGATAATCGCGCCGAATTAAACATTAGATCCGCTCGCACATTCGGCATTGAATACGGCCACGAGATTTTCAGTGTGTGACGCAACACTGATTGCGATAACGATATCGCGATGGTTTATGCGGTGACAAAAGTTTTGAAACCGATTCACGAAGAAATAAATATGTGCCATGCTTATGCAAAAGTCGTATGGAGAATATATAGAGATTTGACAATTTAAGATTTAAATCTTTATGTATTGTATATTGAAATCCACGGAGTTTTCCACGTTTATTTTATATAAACTCGCTTATGAAGTAAATCGTATAAATTATATTTATTTATATAAAACTACATTGATCTCGCAAATATCGTTATTAAAATATTATTTTGATTCACTTAACGATGTAATAATAATAATATTTGCGAGGAAGAAGGAATAATTTAGTGATAAATAATACTTATGAAATATAAGATTAGATTTTTGCAATTTATTGACGTTTTTAAATATTTTTTGACGTATTGTTTTTCTTCTCATTATCGCATTGCGCACATCGGCGTCACTTTTGATATCGTGTCTCGGTTGGTTATTACATAATTAGTAACGATTCGCGGTCGGCTATAAACAACGAGACCAAAGTATCGCGTGGCTCGTTTTGGCGAGGCTAATGCGCGCGTCTGGCCTCCCGGTCGGTCCTGATCGCATTTTTCTCAGACAACGACGGCGACGTCGACAACTACGACGTTGAAAGCATGAGTCACCGTGTATATCGACCCTACGGCATGTTTACGCTGGCTAAGCGCACGAACAGCCATATGTCAAAATCAGGATTGCATAACGTATCCCCTGCGTCGCCGCCGCCATTGCGTCTCATTCTTTTGCGGGATATTTAGACATGAGTCAGTCACGGATTACAAGATTTTCCTATCGCTGCGACCTTAACCCCTCTCAGGTATCGGCTTTTGTATTCCAAATACTAGGGCGTACTAATCTTCGTAAAAATCGAATAAATTATGTATGTCGAAAACATCGTCCGAAAACATTACGATCGATCTGCAAAGTTGTTCATATTGCTAGAAAATTATATTTTATATAACGCGAATAGTTTTTGATAACTATAAGAATTTGACATTAGTGATCGCTGAACACTATTCGACAAATTTGCAACAAATGACATTTATATTTATGTCATCCATATTTATGTAGCATATAGTATTGTTCCTAGTTGACGCATCAGTTGTCACGGCTATATCTTTCCATTTTGCACAACTAACGGACAAAACTTTGAAAACTGTATTGTATAACTTAAAGACTGACTTTTACAATGAGTTGGATAAGTAAATTGTGATTTAGTTCTATTTCTAAATACAAACTTGCGAAGCATTGTTTTTGAAGGACAGGAAAGAGTATAGCAAGAGAAAATAAGGAGACAATAATTGCAGAATACATACGAAGTTTTTAGTAGATTGACAATTGGCAATATTGAAAAAAATCAATTCCTATGCAGATTACACAAATTTATTTGATTGATCTTAATACGATTAATAATATATTAATTACACGAATAACGTACTCCTGTTGTGAGCTAAAACATTTCGAGCAAATGTTTTGGAGTCAATAAATGAAGCCGAACTCGAGCCTTAATGAATTAGTCATCGCTCTCTGAAGCCGGGGGGTTGCTGTATTTTTTCCATTGTACGCTTTTTCATCCCCCTTCCGTTTAAGGGTGCGATGAGGAGGTGGTCTAATCGAGGGGGAGCGTGCGCTTCAGAACAACGTACAACGCATCTGGATCAGCTGTCGATGACGATTATTACGTATGAGTCATCCGATACACAGCTCGCTTTAAAATGTATCAATGACTAACGCGCGTCCAGCTCACAATCGTTGCAGTCCCCGTCTCCCCCCCGCGCCCCCTCACCCTTTGGGTCCCTTTGTGTTGCACCGGCGTGATTCAAGTACTGCTAGGATCGTGATGAAAGATCTAAAAATACGACGCGCCCGGTGATTTAACCTCCTGACTGATCGCGATGATTTTATTTTCACGGTGCGATTCCGAGTGGAAAGTGCAGGTGTCCAGCCTAATTTTTGTTTTCGCAGAATTCACGCACGCAGGAAATACTGTACACTATATATTTATAATATAAATTTAATGAGAGCCAAAAATGAGACAATTTTACACACAGAAAGTCAAACTTTTTGGTTTGAGAGTTTTTCTTTTAATAATTTTCACTCTGTTTTCGGAAAAATCAGATTTACGATCTTGTGTAAAAAAAAAAACTCGTAAACGTTTCATATTACAATGATTTATTTCTTCACGTGGAATCGTCATCTTCTCGATTGAATCACCTCATGTTTATATACGACGATAAGTGCACGGCGGCTGGAACAGAGAGTTCTATCATTACAAAGCCCGTGCGCATATCCGCATACTTCGCGGGGAAGTGCAAACAGTATATTGACAATTAATAATACGGCACGTGTCGCAGTGCGCGCGCTATTCGCCAACTTACGTCCCAACTACGTGTGCTCGCCTCTTGCAGAAAACGAAAATCAAGTCAAGACAACGGAATCAACCAAGTACATCGGACGAGCGCGAGAGGCGCTGTGAATATAAGAATTGGAAAAATTTCTCGAGTTAACAATCGGAATTCGAAAATCTGAGCATTCGAGATTTATAAAGATAATATTTACCAAAAATCGTACTTATCCTCCGTTGCGAACTTCACGGGAATCTGACGTGTACCCTAACGCCAACGCTGTAAAGCACCACCAGTCTCGAAGTGTTAATCGGCCATCGCGGGCAACACATTCAGACATCCGGTCATTGACTCGGATTCCCTCTGAAAATATCGGATGCGAGAGAGCGAGAGAACGCGGGCGGAAAGGAGAGGA